ATGTCAAAAAGTGATATATGATTGACATTTTCAAAGAACAATGTTCAATTTTCTATGTCATTCATGATCAAAATCAAAATATTATTGCATCATGTTCTGCCATTTAATGTAGTCTTTAATAACAATAATAGGTTATGTTGGAATTGATTGTTTTTATATATTTAAATTTACATGGTTATTCTAAAAGGAAAGTCTTTCTCTCATAATGTGGGAAAAAGATTGTCTTCTTTCAGCATAAATTCCTTTTGGTATTAACCAAGACATTCCCCGTTTATGCCTTATGAAGCATTGCTGATAATTGAAAGTGATGCATGCTTAATATTCTAAGTATCATGCTTAAAATTAGGTGACATTTTGTTTCAAAAATATTTAATTAAACATGTTAAAAAGTGATACATGATTAACATTTTAAAAAAACAACGCTCCATTTTCCATGTTATTCATGATCAAAATGTTAAATGATTTAAGCAAAAAATATGGATTAATATTTCTTCATTTATTATAAATTGAGAGACATAAAAGCATTGTTTAACCAAAAATAATTCATCTATGCATTGATTAAAAACAATAGTTATTCACTATTACTTTTCAAGCAAGCCAATAATAGTTGAAATTAATCACCAATTAGTGAAGTAAGTTAAGATATCCAGTGGATCAAAGTTCATAATAGTGATCAACAACTAAGTTTTGTGTAGAACATGATTCTTTAACAATTAAATTAATGAATGTAGTTGAAAGAGAATCATCAAGAATTGATCTATTAAATCTTGTCGAATAAAAAAAATCCCCAAAAGGGATCACACCCTTTATAGAAGTGAGAATAAAATTTTAGTATATTTCAGTCACAAAAAGGCCAATGGCTCTCCGTACAATACCTGTAAGCTGGAGTCCACGACACAACTGAGGGTCATTCCCGCTTCCTAGACTATCAAAAGGACACAAAACCGCACCGAAGGCACCGGCTCAGCGGTAGAATGGCGCTTTGCGCCTTCTGCTGTCACGAGTTCGAGCCTTGGAGTTGCATGCCTGTCAGCCCCGCGCTGCCTTACCTGCCTGCTGGGTTTGCAGGGTGTTCAGTGGGCCGTGGGGATTAGTCGTGGTGCGCGTAAGCTGGCCCGGACACCCCACTTAAATCAAAAAAAAAAAAAGAAAAAAAAAAAAGGACACATTATGCCAGATGGTTTCCACGTAAGGAATTGGACAGCTCTTCACTGTGACAGGCATCTACTGATGAGGAAAGAGTCAGAGCGTGTAAGTCACCAATTGAGTCCTTAGATGAGTAGTCCACTGCAGAATCACCTGATGGAAATCAACATTTAGAAAGTATGAAGCACTGTTCTTTAGAAAAGTATAAACAATTGCTTAATATTTGAATTGGATTTATTACTGTGACAAGAATCGGTGGATGCCTGCCTCGGTAATGAGCTTCTCTTCACGTCTGCTAGAGTTTAACAATAAAGAAAACTTCTTAATTGACCGTCACATAAGAAACAATTGCAAAAGCAGGTCCATCAAAACTACAAACAAAATAATGCAGGCTGCAATCATTTTTTCCCTTCGAATTCCACTTGCAGTTGAAGCCACAAGAAAGGAAAGCACTCAGGTAGGGTTATTATCTTGGGACAGGAGAAACAAAGATAGCAAGGACATGTCTCCCTGTACTTCACTTCTTGTTTTGAAAGCATAGAAATTCACTTCGAAACCACTCAAAGATATATTTATTTTATATCTTTGTCTCTATGTCTTCAATGTTTTTGTCTGTCTCTTCTGTCATCAGACACTAACCATATGCAACCTCAAAGAACTAGTTGTGATTGGGGCCACCCAATTAGCAAAATCATGTGAATCTATAAATTGAGTAAAGATGGATACAACTTCTTTCCATTTACATTCGGAAGTAGCTTAGTGTGGGTACAAACAATGATTGTATTTGCATGACGTTTATAAGCATGACTATCTACATGAACATGAGAATCCTGACGTCACAAACAAACATACAATGTCATAAGAATCTTTTGCTGATAGCATATTGAACAAGGATTATGCAAAATTCTCATACCAAAAGAATGATGTAGCCCTTTCACAGCATCAAAGTTCTTGTACGTGTAACCAACAAAACTAAGATCTTGAGGATTCAACATTGTCTGCCAAAAAGGTTGTAGGAAATGAATAACATGCCTTGATAAACCACAAACACGAAGCATATCACTAGTTAGAGCGTAGTCAAATTAGGTTAGCTTTGCGATTTGAAGATGACCAAGTACTAGTTGACCAAAATACAGTCTTGATTACTTGAAGATGACCAGATGCAAGTTGATGACAATAAACACTTGATGTAGAACCAATTGATGAACACAAAAACAACACATACCCAATAGAAAAAATATTTATCTAAAAACTCAATATATTTGATCATTCAATATTCAAAGCATCATAACATAACTAGAATGTCTAACAAGGGTGCACATTTTATAGGAACCAAACCAAATTGAAACAAGAAAATTAAATTCTACTCGTAGCAAGAAAATTGAAAAAAATTAAAGACTTGCTCTCAAAAAGAATACGAAAACCTACGAAATCAAATAAATTAGGTTCCTATTTTAACAACTAAAAACTAAATACTAACATTCCTAAATAGTAACAACTACCAAGAATCCAGAAAAATCATACTTTTCTAAAAAAATCATATTCTACTTTCCAAAACAATATTACATGATCCACCACCTAACAACATGAGCCAAACTAATAGAATTTTTACATGTCACTAAATTTGTCCTAGTCATTTTGTGATGGATGCATTATTAATTATTTCATTTCATAATTATAAATGTGCTATTAAATGTGAAAAAAAATTGCACTCCAAATATGATTTACTAACTGGATGATTTGAACAAATTTAATTATTTGTAATAGTTCTATTGGTTTGGTCCATGATCTTAGGTGATGGACTAGGTCCGTGTATTAATTTATCATAATTTCCAATTTAGATGTTCTTCATCCACATCAAGACTAGCATGAGATACCAAATTCTTGCTGGATGTACCAAATTTCAATGAGTTTGAAACATGCCTACCAAGTTGGAGCAGGTGGATTGAAACTTCACTCAATAATCTCAATGTAATTGTGTTTTACACCATAAGGCCATAATATAATGTCATCCATGTATAGTCAATTACATTATATTCCTCAGATAATAATTTTCACTCATATTGATTGCATGTAAGCATAATATACATGATTGGAAGGAACAAAAAATCTACACAAACTTTAAAAATGTAAAGGGTAAGCCTTAAAAGTAGAAAAAAACCATAAGAAAGTGAAAAACATCAATCCATATCCCAATATTCCAATCTCTGAAAACAAGCAAGCTTAGACTCCTCTAAAACAGTAAATTTATAAGCATCGAAGTGGCTCGCTATGCAAATCTATGTTTAAAGTCCAAATTTTGTATTAAAAAAAAATAAAAATCATACCCCAAATTGCATTAGAAACCCCACAAAACAACTTTACCTTACCTCTAAACTTTTCATCACTATGGCTTGTTTCCATCCTTCCCATTATACAGATTAATTTAATCATTTTAGCCCTCACTTTATTCATACTTGCATCTCATCCCTAAGTATACTCCAGACATAAAACCAATGACCATTCACTATCGGTTAGGACAGACATGTTTGCAATGTTTCATTAGGCTTATGTATGATGAACTACTTTGACTTAAACAGCAGAAATTTAAGATTGACAAGTACCTTCCTCATGGGTCCGGATCCTCTTCTTGTTGACAGGGGTTCGACCTATCTCAAAAAAGAATTTCTGTCAAAAATACACTTCTACAAATGTATTGTACCACAAACACAGATAACCAAATGAAAATGTCAAGGAAAATCTCTTGAAATGAAAAGGAAATAAGCATTAAAGTTTACAAATGGGGTAAACAAAGAAGGCCTAACATTCATGAGCAAAAGAGCTTAGTTGAGGTGCACAAATAGAAAATTCTCGAGTGAACACAGAGTGAAGTTTCATTCTATCCTCTCGAGTTAGATCATCCATCAAATCCACAGTTGACATCTATATACAATTTAAATTCATGTGTTATGGAGCCTTAAAATTTGAATTCACATCAAAACTCATGGAGCTCACACAACTTTAGAACTCCATATTAATTTTCATGTAAGAACAAGCATATCCTGCTGTCAGTTATCAATTTGGAAGCTCACGACCCAGTTGCTATAAATAAGAGATGAAGAGGGTAATATTGAATCCTTCTTCAGTGACTAAAATGGAACAAAGTGTTAGACTACAGGGGCAAAATAGCTTATTGGTTTTTATTTTTTATGTTTTGAGTTATGCATTCTCCCTGGCAATACCAAGCCGCTTCCTCACCCGAATCTCAAAGAAGATAGACTCTAAGTCCACAACTCCACTAAGAAAGCTAGCTCAGCACACCACCTTTATCATATGAAGTTCATAAAATAAAGAAAATGAGATAATTCAGATAAGAGTCTAATGTATCAACATCGATAGGCCTCACTAAAAGTGGGAAAGAGCCATATGCAACAACTCACCTCATCAAATTTCATAAAATTTTGTGTATCAAGCTCCCCATTGACCTCTGGTTTAAATGCTGCCTCCATTTCATAAAGTTTGTCCCATACAATATCTTTGAACCAAGGATGAGCCTGATAATAATCAGTGTTAGTAGATGCAAGGAAGAACAATGATGTTACAGTCAAACTTAAAAAAAAACAAAACAGAGAGAATATAAGTATTCATGTTGGAATAAATACAAAAGTATACTTTAATTTGGTCTGCCCCCAGAGTACCAAGCCTATGATCAACGTCACAAAGCAATCTACAGATCAGATCCTTTGCTTCAGGTGTCAGCCTTGCCTCCTCTGGGAATATTAAGTGATTTCTCCAATGCACAATCTGGAATACATTAGTTATCATCTCAGTGAGTTAAAGTGACTTGTAATAATACCAGATAAACACGAAAACTAGAGGGAAATGTTAGATATCTATAAGACAGTATTCTTAAGTAACTACATGGTACATAAACAACAAACAAAAGGCTTGAGTACAATAACAGTTCTTCATATTAGTACTATATCAAGAACATGTTGCTTCTTCCCCAGCAGTAACAACAGAAGGGACATTATCCTAAGATGTCCAGGTCCCAATGCGATGTAATTAAAGCAGTCCCTATGAACTACAGATCACAATGAAAGACTATCATGAACAGCCAGGCCAACCAAATGATATCATAAATAAATTGTGGTTTATCAATTTCCAGTGAAAAATCAAAAGCTTCTTTGGTAGAGTCTCTTGAAAGAATAGCAATACAGTAAAGAATGTTGTACATCTCACAAAGAGAAAGAGGGACAACATTTAGGTATATGGGATAGAAATGGAAAAGGTAGAACAAAAGTTAAGTTATAAGAAAGAAGTTAATTTCTAAACATTGCCTAAAAAAAAGGGAGATTTAAGCTTAGCTAATTCAAGTTGAGTTCACAATACTTCAATAGGAAACACAAGATTTCATTCTTTGGATGACGAATTAAAAAAAAGAAGAAGAAGTGGTGCACATGCAAAATCCAAGTATATATTATAACACAACATCACAGAGACGCCAAACTGAACGATGATATGATAATGGAGTGCATATCATGTAGCATTGCCAACACAAGGTTTCATTTTTTTTTCCTTGAAATCAACAAGTTGATGTTAAATTAAAAAAACAGTGCATGTAAAAGCAGAATGTAAGTGCATGTTACAACACAGCATCACACACATTGACACCAAAATGAAAATAATATGATAATGAAGAGTATCTCTCATAATATCAAAACAGATCTGCATAACATTAAAGCTAACCAGGTGTCATGGTTCAACTGAAAGAGAAGAAATCAAACAAATGAAAATAACAACCAGACCTTTCTGCAAGTTGTTACTGGATCATCAGAATAAAATGGGGGATAACCAACTAGCATCTCGTACATTATTGCACCAAGAGACCACCTGTAAGAAAGAAAAATAGGTATTCATTTTCACTTAAATAATCATGTGCTTCGATGATGGCATGATGGTACAGGTCTTGCATCATAAAGCCCTTATGGACATGTTGTGGAAGAAAAAAAACATACCAATTGTAGTGAAAGAATAGTTCTTAATTGGGGCGACAATGATCTGAATTTCTGAATGATGCAAAAAATTTCACCAATAGCAAAAAGCTTATGCAATTCAGAGGAAAAGGATTGCTAGAATTTCAGACAAATATTCAATCATCAAATGTTGAGTCCACTCCTAATTTGAAGAGCTTACATCAATCAAATTGAACAAAAGCTAATTCCCTATAAAATAAGAATTGTTAGATGATCCAGTTCTTCTAGTATGAAAGGATAAATAATTTAGTTATATTTTTCTATGAACTAGGATCCTATGTTCTAAAAGTTAGGCAAGTGGAAGAACTGATTTATCAAAAAAGAAAAAAAAGTCAGATAATAGATATTGCATAGTTAGAAATGGAGAGATTGTGATGAAGAAATAATAGTATGGTATTGATGGCAGTGGATGGTCTCAGACTAGTAGTGGGCAGTGGCATTCATGGTTTTGGCAACAATAGCAATAACACCAAAGTTGTCACGGTTGTGATGGTAGCATGAGAGGCCAAGAAAACTCATGGTGTTGGTGTTACTGGTGGTGTTGATATCAGAGTGATGATGTGATGTTAAAATTGCAATGGTGATGTTGAAGGCACAGTGATGGCAGTGGTGATGGTGGATGATGTTAATGATGGCTCAGTGGTTGTGGTGCTAATGGCAGCATCATGTTGGTCATAGGCAACAACCACAGCAGTAATCAAGACATGTCATCCATGGTTATAGCGTAATTAGTCATGTTTTTTCATTTTTGTCCTTTTCTGAACGAAATTTGTTGAAAAAACATGAAAAGAAAAATGCTTTAGATGAGTTATTCCAATGCTGAGCTACAACTGTAAACATAAACAAAAATGCAATCAAATATTTTGCAAGTTCCAAGAGAAAGTAAAATTCATCCTTATTTACTTACCAGTCACACTCCATGCCATATCCTTTCTTCAACAGTACTTCCGGAGCAATGTAATCTGGTGTGCCGACTGTGGAATAGGCCTGCAATTCAAACAAAGTGAAGAAAGAACCTCAGAAATAAGACCTCTATATGATAGAAATTCTAGGATGGATAAACTAATGATGATGAGAAGATGAAAAGTAAATAACATTATTGTCGTGTAGCATCAAAAAGATAAACTGATAAATCACCCCTGTAATATGGCTGGATAGGATCACACCCTTTTTAATTTTGAAAGGTGCATTTACACCTTTGACCTCGTATTTTTGTTCTTAGCAGTGGTCCTAAGCAAGGATTCATTTCCAAAGGAAGAAAAAGATGCAACCCACACACATAAATACAAATAAAATTGCATACTGCACATATGCACACACATTTAGAGCATAAAA